TTTTACTATTTACCACTTATCCGTAATTTGAAATTCTCTTCATTGATAATAGAGTGCCCATTCCTAGGCCAAACCCTTTTCGATGATTTTCGTTTGGCAAATTTAATAGTTTATTGATTGGATAATTTCACTCGTATTATATCTTTCTTTCTCAGCAAAAAACTCTGTAGTTTTTCTCCGTTAGTTGGTTTCCTATAAAACATATCTCGTACTCTTCGCTTTGTTGAGCTAAGGCCCACGTTTGCACGCCACTAGACAACTGTTTTGCTTGGACCAACCGTTAGATAGTATTTATCATTGTGATTTATTAATTAAAAAAAAAAGGTGTGAAGATTCTTCTGATCAGTTTTTCAAATATTGAAACAGACGCACTTACTGGCAGCTCAGTTTTTTTTTTTAATTACGCTCAGACCTGTCGATTTTGTTTTCGAGGGTGACACAAGTTTGGCAAAATCTTAAATGGAAAGGGGGGTCGAGTGATACCTTATTTTAAAGGTCTTTCAATTCCCTTTATAATGATATAAAATTAATATACGTTCCTTATGGGATTTTCAATGTTGGGTTTTTTATTGGCGACTGACCCAGTTTCCCGAAATTTAGCAACAAGTTCTAGAACATATTTTCAATGCACGTTACTGTTCTCATGTCGCTCATTAAATACTTCTGCTGTTCTATTAGCGTACTGATTATGTCCGAAAAATATTTTCATAATCTCAACTCTTTCTGCTGTGAAATATACCATGGTTAATTTATGTAATAAAGCGTTACAAGTTATTTTAGCAACAAAGTTTGGTCAAATCAATTGCAAACTATGTACTAAATTCCTATTTAAAATAAGTACGAGATATTTCCATATCTTTCTTCACGAAATAACTTTTTGCCACAAAAAAACGCTCCAATAGCTATTTTCAACAGCCTTAAGCCTTAAATTATTAAATCTTCAAAACTACTGAACTGAAGCTCATGTGTTTTACATCATTATAAAGGGAATTCAAGGATCTTTAAAATAAGGTATCACTCGACCCCCCTTTCCATTTGAGATTTTAGGGTTGGTGTCACCCCCGCCCAAGGGGCTGCACGTGTTAACGTGATTTTTTGCCAGACTTGTCTGCCCCTCGAAAACAAAATCGACGAGTCTGAGCGTTTTTCCAAAAAAAAACTGAGCTGCCAGTAAATGCGTCTGTTTCGTTTTCGATGCACCACCCTGTATAATTAAAGTGTAAAATCAACTAAAGATCTTAAGAATCCTTCTCATCGTACCCACCTATTACAAAATCGATTTTCGTCATCAGCGATTTCACCCTGGAACTCCCTGCTAAAGCCAGCAACAAATTGGTTAACCTAAGAAACCAGTTTTCATCCAGACCACAGAAGCAGAAGGCTTTTCCCATATTTTTATTACGTTTTATAATAACTCCAATTCTAGCCGATACCTTGAGAATGGAACATAATCGAACCAACTAGATTGCAGTTTCGGTTCCAGCGATCCAGAAGCGTTATTGCTCATAAATTCCTGGCTATGCTATTTGTGATCTTTTGGCTACTATACCCTTCTAAACGTGGTCACTGAACATTGAAATATTTTATATGCGGTTCAAGTTCCCATTATATTACGCCCTTTAGACCGCTGAAACAGAATCAGAAGTACGAGGGATGTCTTTTAAGTTTTGCATATAGAAACATAGTAGGCCGCGCGGATCGAACGTCAGTACTGAATCTTAACCTCACTCTTTAGTAAACTTAAATCCAAAGTTTTACAACAAAACGTGCAATGTTCTCACTACAGTGAATTTTTAAGTGTCACCAAGTCATTAGAAAAATGGAACTCAACCGAGAACATTTTTGCGCCATAATTTGTTACAACTTTCGGAGACAATTATCGCAACAAGAATGCCTTGCTGTCTGTTTTCGGCAACGAAGCGCCACATCAGTCGACAATTTCCCGTTGGTGTGGAGAATTCAAACGTGGACGGGTGAGTCTTAGCGAATATCTCAATGACCTCAATTCAAAAAATTTTACATGAAGAATTAGGAGTACGAAAATTAGTTTTTCGTTGGATACCCCACCTGTTGACTGAAGAGCAGAAAACAGCCGGGGTTAATTGGTGTCGAAAAACGCTTGACCGTTTCAATTCCGGGAACGCAAGAAATGTGTACAGCATTGTTAGTGGTGATGAATCGTGCATTTGCTGTTATGAACCAGAAAATAAACGACAGTCGGCTGTTTGGGTGTTCCAAGGTGAAGAAAAGCCAACAAAAGTCATCCGTTCTCGAAGTGTTTCGAAAAAGATGGTCATTTAAAACTACCTACCGTGTTTTTTTATTTCCATATGCAAAACTTAAAACACATCCCTCGTAACAAGTTGTCTCGTTTCGTGAATAATTATGTAAGATCAAAAAATGCTGCTTTTGCGTTTATGTCTTGACGTGTAAATTTTCTATTTTCCTTGAGTGTGGTTACATGCGACCGAAACGGTAAACGTAGGTCGCTAGATTTTAATAAAGTTCGTTAGATCGAATCTGAGGTGAACATCAGGCACCTGGGATCTGTTAATAATGACCAAGTTCACATAAAATTCGGAAACTAAGGTAAGTTCTGTCGCTAATTTTTAGTATGGTTCGTTGAATCGAATCTATTGTAAAACATTAAACGCCTGGGACCTGTTAATTCACATCAGATTCGGAAACTAAGACTATTTATCCAGGAATCAGTTTTTCAACCACATCCCGGATGGGCACGAATTAGGGACATTTCTGTTACATTACCACTTCATCTACGAAACAAGGTGTATCTCTATTTTGGGGACACCCTGTATAAGCGGAGATCAAACAAAAAATGTTTGCAATCATATATTCAACCTTTTGATGCACAATACATCATATAAGTGCTTATATACTTTATAAATAATAGCTTTCGTGGAAATTTAACTATTTGTCCTGTCAATATTGGAATAATTTAATGATACCTATGTCGTATATGCATCAGGTACTTAGATACACAGTATTATGTATACTGTATACCTCTTTTGGTTCAGACTGTTTGCCTTTCGAGAATCATTGAAATTTACTCGGTCGGGTATTCCTCAGAATAACTTGATTCAAGGGCGTACTCAGGGGGGCCAGGAGGGCAGCTGCCCCCCTTTTTCCCTAGCTCGGTAAAAATCAAATGGCAAGATCATTTTTTTCAAAAATTACGTTATTCATTCAGAGTGCTCAATAAAAAATTAGAAACGATTTTGAGAAAATTCGTTCCATTTTCCGGGTGTCTCAGGAGATAGTGGAAACATCAAGACTGTTCAAGTACATTTTCTAAAATATGTAAATACGCAACTTTGCCACCATTCAACCGGCCCGCACGGATATTACATATCTTGAAAAGTGACGTTATATATTTTTTGACATTATACTGTTTTTTTGACGTTATGTAGGTTTTTCTACAAGATGTTAACTTAGCATTAACACTATAAAACTATCTTCGGCTATTTATGTGCTATACTATCTCAAGTGTTGTTTCCAAGAACTGCAAACGACCTATAACTATATATTACTTAAAATGCATCTCGTGCAATGTTTGCTTGAATGTTTCAAAAAACAATCCTAGTAGTTTTCTGTATTCATATACGTATGTTGTCAAATCGTTCTGGACGACTCTATGAAAATAAATACAAATAGAAAGCTAGATATCAAGCATCTAGATATGATTTGTGGAACTTCCACCAAAAAATTGTTGAAGTCGTCCCTCCCTTCCGTTTTGAGCTGGGTACGCTCCGCTTACAATTAATAATTATTGTATATTAAACATTATCTGAGGAACACAGAAAATAAGAGAATGACTGACCTAGTAGCGTGTATAGATATCAGTATGTAGTATTTTTTCCAAAATCGGTTGGTACACCGTTTTTGGTGACATAAAACATAAAGTACGATCTGGGTCTTGTCAGAAAACGTAATAATAAAATAATTAAGTAAACCTAAACCGACGAAGTAAGTAGACAGAAAAAGGGCCGACAAACAAATACTTTTGAAGCTCGAAGCTAATATCAGATGATTTATAGCACACCTTGAAAAGTTACTTGAGCTTCTTTGTTTCATGAAGACTCTTTCTAGCACACATATCTCACGCTTATCGAGCTTACCTCTCGTACACGTTAGACGTCAGTGGTATTTGGTTTTCAGTGTAGACAGCGCCATACTCACAAATTCTCGTCTAGGTACATATATGACGCTACGGTATCTCATTTTATCTCGGATAATTTTTTAGGCGCACAAATGAATCACGAGGCTGGCTACCTTCAAGTAGAATACATCAGACAAAGCTAATATATAAGTACCTACTAAGTACAATCATTTTTGAAAATGGCATTCAAGTCGCTTTAACTTATGCCTATTTACTTATTTCTATTGGGTACTATCGGCGAATGAAAATTGTACTTGCACTACGACCTTAGAGACGAAAAAACATTTGTTTCCTCGATTTCCTCCGTCGCGTCGTTAGGTATTACAGCAACTCTGTACCTTCTTGTCAAAGAAACAGATACGCCACTGCTTATTAAATAGACCAAATCTAACTTACTTGTCCTTGAACGTCTTATACATATAAAATTAGATGTTTGAGACAGTCTAGCTTTTTCTTGTTATGGAATATTGTTAGTATTGCAAAAACTTTAATTTTTAGTTATTTAAAATCCTATTTAAAAGAGTTGCCCCGCCATCTACTAGGGCGTTAATGAACTACGTTTGTCCGACTGCCGATACGTAGCAGAAGTCTGAATGCCTGTTCATAATGCATGTTCATTTTAAATGTTTTACACTAGATGGCCCTCGTTGATTGATAATTACAGAAAATTCCAAATGATACGTATAATTTCGGTCAAACTACTGTACAAAGTTTTTCAGACATATATTTATAAGTATTAAAAGATAAAACAGAATGAAAAACAAGTTTTTCTCTTATTTTTCATTATGACATGTAGTGTCATCTACTAGACAATAGCATAACCATCATTTACAACTCGACATACTGACAGGAGCTGTCAATCACCAAACCTTTCAAAATTGTCATTGGTGCCGTATAAAAGAAATGAAACGCAAATAATCAGTTTAATTTTTTGTTTTTGAAGTGAAGATAAGACAACAGTAATAATAAAAGCGGAAAATTAAGCCAGTTTTATCTAGGATCTCGACGAATTATTCGTTGAAATGAAGGGCTACATCCTCTTCGTGCTTACAGCAATAATTGGTAAGGATAACATTATTCGGTGAATAGAATGTTTTTCTAGACGAATTGTTTTGGGATTCCTTGAATCAATCACATTTAAGATTACTCATTTTATGATATTATTCAGTTTTTCAAGAATTTATGATGCAGCCTGCAGCTATAAACAAATATACATGCTTATGAGCTGATAAGCAAGATTAACCGACATGTATATTGTTTTCTGTATGCGAAAAATTCATTACACATACACTGCACAAAGGCTGCTTATCAAAATTATATATCTACACTGATTGTCAAACATCGTTTTTCATTCAAAATTTTTTTATTTATATATCTCTGTAATCTGTAATATTTTGCTAGTCTTCTTAGGTTAAAAATGCTAGATTATGGGGGTACCCTTATTTCCTGTTCCAAATATAGCTACCTAATAAATACTGCTTTGTCAGCTGATGAGGCAACATTAACTTAATTAGAAAACAAAGAACTTCTTATCAAAAATGGTGGATGAATCAGTAAATCCAATTATTAGAGATTGTTGAGAATGCCAGAAAACATGCGCTGCCTGTTGAGATAATCCTATGTGTGTTTATCAGCTTTTTTGTTTTGAAATGAATGTTTTATTATGGCTAGCTGTTTGTAGCAATTATGTGAAGCTTTAAGCTTGTATTATACTACAAGTCCTAGGTGTTTACAGATTTATATATTGACAATCTGAATGTTTTGGATTGATGTGTGGGGAAACCAAATTATGAATCATGTGAAAAATAAGATTTTCACAGCTCTTTCTCATTCATTCAGTTAACTTTCTGCTTTGTTCCTGCTAATATTTTACATAAATTGAAAGAGAGTAGATATATGTGCTTTCTACAGGGGTATAACTGCAAAATCAACATTCTTCAATTTGCAATAAAATTTATTTAAGGCCAGGCTGCCAAGCCACCACATCAAATAATATCAAATAAACAATTTGAGGTTAGACAAAATTTGAATTTCAAGCAGACATTTGTCTCTTTTTACTAAGCTAAATTGTGTAGTATTTTGCGCTAAATTTTAAATAACTGTGATTATTTGCAAGTTTTGAAGTTATAAAGTACAGCTTTTGTAAGTACTCTCTGCTTTATGGGTACAGAAGTAACTCTCAGAACCTGCAAGTTATCACATAAGTATTTAGGGCTGTATGAGAAATATTACACAATTTGGTTTGGTAACAAGAGATATCTTCTTGAAATTCCAATTTCTTTTAAACTAAAATTGCTTATTTTTCAGCAAAGTTTAGTTTTTAATTCTACTAGTTGGTATTTGCGACCATTAGTTAACATATTATATCTGAAGACAGCCCACCTAACATTAAACTCGCGCGTCCAAAAAGTCCGAGAAAAATGTTATACCATAGGTCACCTATGATAATTTGTCACAGCTGGACCTGCAAATACAGCCTTAAGTGGGGGGGCTGTCAAACCTAGTAAACAGCAAAGTAGCAGATAATCTGTTTGTTTTAAAATAAGGTGCTGTTGTCATGCTGTGTACCTATATCATATTTGTACAGCTGCTATTGTCTTAATAAGATATTAAATATTTGCAGTTAAACAAAATATCAGTTGGCTAAGATGTTGGAAAAAAATACTTTTTGGTATTTACAAGCTCACATTAATTTATATGAAATTCATAAGTAGATGTAATGTTTTAATGCTTTTTAGTAATAATATTGAATTTGAAAAAAACTTGTTGAAGATGTAGGAACCACTATTAAGATTACTGATGTAATGAGTTCTAACTGTTATCATGCTCCCAAATTAACAACATAAACCACATAATTTTGGGTATTAATTTGGCAGTTTTATTTCACATACCTGAAGCCTAATAATTTTAATAACCTGTTACAAATAACATTTCACATAAATATTACAAAAGGAAAGATGTCACTCAATATACAGATAGCTCCTGAAGATCCCAAAGTATTTTTGTATTATCCAGGTTTCTGATTAAAAAATGATTTCAAGTCCATTATTACAATGAAATACAATTATCATTTTTAATTTACCCCAAGGTGGAGGTATGTTTATTTGCATATCAAACAGTTTTTGTATTTGTAAGAATTTGCAAGAAACTAATTCTGTTTGTTGATTCTACATAATTTTTTTGCTATTTTCGTTTATTTATGCACATATTTATAACTCCCTTTCAGACCCAAATCTACAATGTCTGTATAAGACTGAATATATCATTTTGGTGTCTTAATAAAGATTAAAATATTATCTATGTTAACCATGACCTTTTATAAAAAGTCAAATTGTTGTTATGCCTGTAGATAAGTCCAAATAACAGGGAAACAAAAATGTCTTGTCACAGACAAGATTTAAATAAACAACTAGGAACTAAAGATCCTTATTAGTTTTTTGCCGTAAATTTTCAGATTGAATGGTGTAGGTTATTTTTGACAGATTATATTTTCCCTTTATAGAGCTAGTAGTTTCTTTATGTGTTTAGGTGAAAAGTAAATTTATTGAATACCTCTTAGTTATGAATCTATTTTTAAATTATCCACACATGAGCACTGCCATTAATATCTTTGTTACTGTGTTAAAATGCGTGAATGACCATAAACTTGTTGTTACTAAATATAGGCCAGTCAAGTTAAATATGTATATTGTTTTAGCTCTGGCCAGTGGTGTGTTCGTACCACCACGTCCAGGTCACAAAAAGAAGCATGTGGAGCTACTAGGAGCCAAAGAATGCACCTGGGGACCATCCTACTGGTGCCAGAATCTAACGTAAGTGATTTTTTTGATTATAAAGCTTATATGTGATCATATCATCAAGTAGTAGATGTTGAGTAATCTTCTTTAATTAAATCCAAATTATTTGTATTGTTTGATCAACATCTTTTTTTTATGTAAATACTAGATGTGATCCATGATTGCAGTATCTGGATCTGTTAGTACCAGTGGATTGATAATGAATATTGACATCCATCAGTAGACTCCTATATGTTTAATAGTTGCTGCATTGTGATAAATATGTACACAACACAATAAATCTATACACCATCTACTCTGAAAGTGTAATATTGCAGAACTAATTCAATATTTTTGTTTACAACCAATCCATATCACTGATTGCGCTATGTTAATATCGGTACCTCACACAAAATGTATGGATATTGGTCCTTTTGTTTAAAAACCTCGTATGATATATTTCTTACCTTGGTGACCAAAACCTCTGATGGGACGAAAGCAATCCTATGATTAGTTTCTTTGAAATAGACTTGAGAGTTTACAAAAATGGTGAATGTATTGATAGTTGTTCTTAGACTAAAAACTCGGAGAATCAGTTAACTGAAAGAAATGATGTCATGTTGAGCCTTACAAGGTCAATTTAAGGGCAAGTTTACTTTTAGAAGCTGGAATAGATTTGACGCGAATTGTTCGAGAATTCGGAGAACTCAATAGGAGGAGAACAGGTCTTGGATGTTTCCTTGCCTTTTCTTATGATCTTTACAATTTCAAAAATAAAGGAGATGTTCATTTTGAAGATGAAAATGAAACGGCACAAGTGCGAACATTGTTTTAAGTTCTTACAACTTATATACGTAGTTTAGTGCAAAAGAGCAAATCAAATTATTATATATATAAATTTATGAAATTGATAATCAATTAGATAATGACTGATTTATATCCGTCTTCTGACAGTTAATTTTTTTTAACCCTACATTTAAACTGCTGAATAATCTTTGAGTACAAGTGCTGCATTTGCATTTTGTATGAAGTCACCATCTAAGGATCATGGTCAAGATCATTATGACACCTCCCAACACCTTCCTAATAGTCTTTCAGGATAACAATTCCCCTATTACAGAGTACAACTACAATCTTTACAACCACCACATTTCCAAATCTGGCAAACTTCATCCCCTTATTTACTTTTTTTCAGGGGAGTGAAAAATGCATCATACTGAATTTTAAAGCAAGTCGATTAGGAGCCATATCCTATGTTTTATGTGGGGTCAAAAGTGTGCTATTTGGACTAAAATTTCTAATAAGCATAAGAAATATCTTCACTTTTTTAAAAGTTGTGAACACCCTATATAGATGTGTTATGCATTTCGCAATTTGAAAGAGGGTCTGTTCAAGAAAACCGCACTAATATTTGTCAACTTGATTACTTATGGCTCGAACAGATACCAAATCTAATTTTGTGAATACCTTTGTCATGTCACCTATGATAATGACGTTGAAGTGACTTGTCAAAGTCAAAGCTATATAAAAATAACCATCAATTCCACTAAATGAGGATTAACCACTGTTAACATAAGCTTCTCCTAACATTACTGTTTACAGTGATATTTTGTTTGTTTATTATTTGGCTTAGAGCTACACTACATTGGTGGTGGGATAAAAGTGTGATTTATTAATAGAGATTATACATGGGCGTATTCAGGGAAGAGACAAGGGAAAACGTCAGCTCGATATGAAAGTGAAATCAAGAGAACATTTTTACTAGTATAAGGCCCTACATGGGGTGAATCAATACCAATTAGGTGGAAACTATTTACTACTAGTTATTTGGAGAAGATTCTCAACTGGTTCCCGGTTGACAGATAGACCGACTGATGGAAGTGACTGGCATAACATCACTTGAACATATTGACAGTCTCGATTTTCACTTCCTAAGCCTCCGGCGCGAAAGTATTGTAGTCGCGAAAGATTTCGAATAAATGTATGTTTTTAGATGTTATATGTACATTGGTGTAAAAACATCACTAAAAACCATGTCACTCATTACCGTCTTGTCTGTCCTTGGACCGTCAATAACTTGGGAACTGCCGCTCGGATTTTGATAAAATTTTTATACCAGGTTACTTCTCTGCTAATGCCGAAAAAGCTTTGTAGTTTTTGAAAATTGGTCCGGTGCCGGCGGATCAAAAAACGTAAAAAAATGCCCAAACTTTGTTGACAATTTTTCAAAAAAATGTTTTCAGGGGTTAAGGATTAGATGTTGGTTGTAGGGATGGGGGAGAGTATATATCAATTTTTTGGTGCTAACAATTTATACGTTTCCAAACCCACTAATTCTAAGCATTTATTAGACATATTTCATGCATCATAGATTTTCCTTGGAACTTGAATGATAGAGATATATTTTTGATATACGCGTGTCTGCTAAGGGATAACTGAGTGATAATGCGTGTATCCATATACATATATGCACCCGCGCTGACCCGATCCATTTAATTCCTGTGTTATACATGTTCGTAGCCAACTTTTACCGAAGAGGGACTAACTTTTGTTTTTATGAATTGATGCGTAGGAAATGCAGAGTCAATCTACTTGGCGCCGTTTTTTGTGACTACAGTAATTTCTTGCGATTTGGCAAATTCTTAGGCAAAGTTTTTCACTATTATAATACAACCATCTCCAATTAACTTGTAAGTAAGAAATGAGTAACAGCATGTTTGAGATAGCAAAACTCGGTTTCATTTTTTAGTTACCCTGCATGAATTCTTGAGCATATTTCCAGCAATTAAAGAATAATCAAATATCTCAGAGGTTGCGCATTTTTGTCATCAAAGTGAAACGCATAATAGAATTTAAAGTTTTTTTACTTGACATTGATATCATTGTAAAGGAATCTGTATAAATGTTAAATTAAGGAAGAAATCAACATTAGCAAAATAGATGTTTTATGAAATTGTGGTGAAAAAATTTTGGAACTGTTTTCCTTCCGTTTTGAGCTGGCTACGCCCATGTCGCCTAATGTTGTGTATATTATTCAATTTGATAATGCTTATCAATGAAAGCAAATTTCAACGTTAATAGTAACTGGAACAAAAAGTTCAGTTTATAGGTCGAGCACAAAATAAACATTTCTTGCAAATCAACATCAACTAAACTCGTGCTAAAAATGTAATTGTTCATACTTATTTAAAAAAATCATTATGAACGTTTTGAGTAAACAAAAATTGCTTAAATCCCCAGCATATAAATAAAAAAAAAATATTAATTACCGACGAAGTGATTCGCAAGGATCTATACAGGGTGTAAACGTTATGATAGTCATTATTTAAATGGGTGATAGAGGGCGTTAAAAGAAGCGAAAAGTTTCATATAACATGGGGGTCAAAACGGCATTTTTTAGAGAAAATCGACTTTAAAGTGAAATTAAATCTGACAACGCCGCAATGCCAGACGCAAATTATAATGGAACGCACTGTAAATAAAGATGGAGTTTGTTATTTTTGGCTCTTAGGTATTATTTCATTATTTAATAATGTACTCGTAAAATGCCAACAAAAAAAACGGACTTACCGCTAACTGTCTCAGCACTTCACCTGGTATGTGAAAGTTTATTTTGAACGTATTAAAAAAATCCACTTATAAATAGGGAACACAATTTTGATACATACATTCTTTTTCTTTTTAAAACCTACACTGCACTTTTTTTGTATTTAAAGAAGGTGTTCAAAATGTCATCCTCTACTTTCCACACAAGCTTCATTACGACGAACCCAGTTTCTTCCTACTCTAGGTCCTCGAAGTTGTCCACTTATTATTTCAGCCGCATCAATTTTTTTTTTCGCGAAGTTGTGGTTCAGTTGTTATTGGACCAGCCCCATAAACCATCCCTTTAAGTTCTCCCGAATACCAGAAATCCATCGGATTGAGGTCAGAAGATCTTGCTGGCCATTTTCGAAGATCAGGAGCATTTCGACCGATCCAGCGATTTGGATGATGTTCATTCAAATACCGAATGACGCCTCTAAAAGTGTGTGGGGTGCCCTGTCATGAAGAAACCACAAATTCTGTTTCCATTGTAATGGCATGTTGTCTAAGGTCTGTTCCAAAAGTTCTGGTAGGTTATTGGCTTGAAAGCTAAGGTATCCTTCTCCTGACAACTTTGGGGGTAACTCGAAAGGGCCACCAATTACCTGATCGTCAAGAATACCTGCCCAAATATTTATTTTAAAACGTTGTTGGAAATGGCCTTCACGAATGGTAATATCCCGCCTCGCGTAAAAGTTCATTCGTCCGTCGCTAGAATGTTTTTAAAAAAATCCGGATTTTCAATGTTTTTGTGCAAAAACCACCGACAGAATGTTAGTCTGTCTAGACTATGGTATGCGATAGTCCTACGCGGCGGCCTAATTCCCGAGTGCTGATATCTGCATTGATTTTCACGATATTTAAAATTTGTGCCTCCTGCTCTACAGTAACCTGTCTTTCACGAGTGTGCATATTACTGGGCTGAACACTTCCTGTATCTGGAAGTCTTTGGTGCACTTGCACAAATGTCCTTCTGTCTGGGTGTACCCGTTGGCGAAATCTGTCGCGATAAGTTTGAGCTGCAAGATTTGAATTCTGACGAGCTTCACCGTAAACTAACAACATGTCGGCGAACTCGTGATTCGAGAACATTGTAAATAAACACGACGGACGCGAACAAAAACGACACGCCCGAGAACTAACCACTGTTACCGTTTGCGATCGATTGGTGGTTCGATAAGAGTGATGAAAGGCCGACGCGCTTTTGTCATGTGTGTTTTAAATATCTAATTTAATTAATCTTACTTACTGACTACAAATTTTGGCTTAACTTACAAAAACTTAATGCCATTTATTTGTTAATTATCCAATTTAAAAACGTTTTAGATTAGATTATAAAAATTAGTAAGATTGTGGTGATTTTGGTCGATATAAAGCACTTAAAGTTGTAAACTATAAAGCCATTTAGACAAAAGTATATTGACTTTTAGACGATGGGTATGAACTTTTTGACTTGTTTTGACCCCCCTTTTACCCATTTCAATAATGACTACCATAACGTTTACACCCTGTATATTAAGATAACCTGTGTATTTGAATTCAAAACTGTTAACATGACATACGCGTATCTAATTATTAATTCAAAGATAAATAATACGAATATGGAAAATAACTCTCAATAGGAATTAAGATTTAAGTTGTTATCGAACGTTTGTTCACAAAAGAATACCGATAAATGTGGTTATAATTTGCGATCTTAGTTGCATAACAAATACATTTAATAATGATCTGGTAATAATAGGACTTCGCGAAATAAACGCAAGCATATAACGAAACAAATTTTCTAAGTCAACATTGGTAGCAACGTCATTTAAGTGGAAACGGGTTGGGAAAACCTTAGTACAGAGCATCTTATATAATTATGTATATCAAAGGCTTAATTTGTGTAACTCTTGAAGCATGACAGTACAAGCCATGACAACTTTCATAAGGCATCATGCTCAAGTCAGTTGATCGAAATAAACTTCCAGCACCTAGTCTCAACCACTGTTAGAAGTACGATCCTGGTTTTATTTCATTTGAAGCTACCTACGTGTTCTGAAAAAGGCTAACGCCTCTGACACTTCACCGAGTCCTTTTGGTATCAAGAATGATGTGAATTGATTTCTCAGGATTAAAGTTACGTAAAGGTTATATTAATTTTTTATTCAGAGCTGCTGCAGATTGTCATGCTGTACCTCATTGTATACAGACAGTATGGATTCACAAGAAATTGTCCCCAGACACAAGCAGTATCTGTCAGACCTGCTTAGACATGGTTAAGCAAGCTAGAGACCAACTTGAAAGTAATGAGACACAGGTAAACGTTTTCATCAAAATTAATTATTCAATTAATTTGGTAAAGACCCGAAAGGATGAGGAAAATCACGTAGTTATACAACTTAGTGTAGATAAATGATGAATCGCAATTAGGATTATTTTTGCTATGATAGAAAGCTACATGTTTTTGTCCATCAATTTTGAAAGTAAGCAGATCTATTTCAGTATGCGATCTAAAAATACATACAAAACAACGCAGTCAACGACACGGGTTTTACGCTTCTCAAAATTCATGTTTCATTTGGGTTATTCAGATACACGGAGTGGCCCACTTCTTACCATATTTTTGCATTCAAGCCTCAGAAAACGATCAGAATTCCATACAATAAAAAAATATCCAGACATCTTTTTTTCCTGATTCTGCTTATTTCAAATAGGTGTTAGAGCATTAGTTGAAGATAAAAATGACCAAAACAAGTATTTAATAAGTTTTCTGAATATTGGGATTTCAGATTGTCCATACTATTTTTTAGCATCAATTTTTGTGTGTCTTGTTGAATGTTTCATTGTTTCCTACTGACAAGTTGCTTTTGCGTAAACATTTATGGACATACATATGTATTCTAATATTTTTTTTAAATATTTGACATTGTCATTGATTTTGTGCACAGGAGCTGATAAAGGAGGTGTTCGAGGGCTCCTGTAAGCTCTTGCATATCAAGCCAATAGTGAAGGAATGCGACAAAATTGCCGATGACTATATTCCAGAGCTAATTGACACTTTGGCTTCTCAGATGAATCCACAAGTGGTGTGCTCTGTGGCTGGACTGTGTAATAACGAAAAGGTAATTTTCAAAAGCTGGTAGTTATTTTATTTTCTGTTTCTACAGTGTTCGTTAATGACATGCTAATATTTATACTAAGTGACATATAAATCCGAACACCCAGTTTAAATGGTTTTATTTTAATAAAATTTTGTATAAGTACTTAATGAAGCATAATAAAAATTTCAAAATGATTGCACTGCTTTAAAGCCCTTTGACCTTTAATAATGTGCAGGCATACTTCTGATCAGGTGGTCAATGTCCTCCTGTGGTATCTCATTCCAGGCAACCACCAACTCCTCTCGAAGTGCTTCTAGAGTCTGAGGAGGACGTTGCAAATTGAGCAATCTCCTACCCATCATATCCCACACGTGCTCAATTGGGGATAAGTCGGGAGATCTTGGTGGCCATGGTAACAATGTGACATCATTATGTTGAAAGAAGTCTATTGTGACTCTTGCAACATGTGGTCGGGCATCATCTTGTTGGAAAGTTGGATCTGCCAGGGTGTCAAGATAGGGTAAAAGATGGGGTTCTAGAACTTCGTGGATATAACGCTGCGCGTTCATGTTACCTCTAATGAAGATTAAAGGTGACCTGGAACCATAAGCTATAGCACCCCAAACCATAACTCCAACAGTGTGATGAACATGTCTTTCAACAAAAAACTGTGGATTCCTCCTTTCACCACGTCGCCTTCTAACCCTGGCACGACCATCGTGCATGCCTAAACAAAATCGAGACTCGTCACTAAAGACAATACTGTTCCATTCCTGATCCCAGAGTTACCGTTGTCTGCACCTCTCAAGGCGATTACGTCGGTGTTCTCGAGTTAAAGGGAGGACCCAGTGTGGCCGGTATGAAAACAAGCCAAAACTTCTCATTCGTCGGTAAACACTTCGCATGCCAATAGGTCTTCTGTGTTCTGCAAACCATTCATTTGCAATGGACCTGGTAGTGGAGAAACGGTCCCTTAAGGCCAATAATCTTAGGCGGCGATCTTCACGGTCTGTTGTTCTAGGGCGGCGTCCAGTGCCCCTTGCTCTTTGCGTACGGCCTTCTCGAAGCAATGCCTGACAACACCTAACCACAGTGTCTACACTTCTTTGCACACTAACTGCAATTGCCCGAAAAGAAAGTCCAGCTTCCCGAAGTCCCACTATACGGCCCCTATCAAACTCACTAAGCTGACAAAATCGTACAGGTCTCCGTATTCTAGGCATCGTAGCCGATCGTAAAGGATGTCAAGAACCAAAATCCGCCAACGTTGATTCTTTACTGCGGCTGAAATATTCATTTTTAGAGCGTTAGTGAAGTAAAAAAAAGCAGTATAAAAACCGGAATGTCCAACTGATAAGGCTGAACATTTTTTCACTTGTTATTTACAGTAAGATAAATACATTCACCAACTTTTATTAAAATAAAACCATTTAAACTGGGTGTTCGGATTTATGTCACTTAGTATATATAGGAGGTTCTTGGATCCATTTAAGAGAAAAAAAAAATAAAAATAAATGAAGGTTGTCTTATGTCTTAACCGTCGAGATACAGGGCAGTAATTTTCAGAATAAATCTGTAATTTACAAAATTTTGATACTATTGTAGATATCCTTATGAAATTTGGTACACATCTTCTATACATCAAGGTGCGTTTTCTGATGTATAAAATTTTTATTATTTCTACCAGTGGCATCCGTTCGGGTTCTATATTGAATATTTTTGAAGGAAAAATGGTACCCCACTTCTTTGTCTTTGAATAAAACCATTTTTTAAATATTTGTTCATTTCTGAGAAGATTTGAGTCCTTGATTTTCTTTCGTGCGACGCATTGTCTTCACTTGAAAAAAAGATCGTTTTAGTTCAGGGTCAAATCGCTAAAAATCTAATGCGGTGACTGCTGTGCGGAAATCGATCAAAAAATTTATTTTCTTTAAATGGGACCACCTCCGTAACTAATAGCATGTCATTATGGAATACCCTGTATATTAAGTATGCTTTATTTTTTAATTAGGTTCACAAGTTGCTGGCAGAAGCAGGCGAAAAGATTGAGACTAAGTCCATAGCTAAAGCTGGCGGCCCTAGCACATGCGAAGGTTGCCATACTGTCATTGGAATATTGGAAAACAAATTCAACCGAATGAGTCGTGATGACGTTCTTCACGCTATGCTAAGGGTAGGTTAATAACTAAAGCTGCAATATAAGATTTTAAATTTATTATGACTTCTTTTCTATAGCAAAGCATCTGATCTTTTAAGTTTGTTAGTAATGATTTTTTTTTAGATGTGCGGCAAGACAGGCAGCTTCAGTGATGGTTGCAGCAACATAATAATCACCTACTTCAGCAAAATCTACCACCATTTGCAAAACCACCTGAACGCAGAAGAAGTGTGTCTGATGTCAGGAGAGTGCAGCGCTCAGTTCCATAAGCATGCCAACGTTGAAATCACGCCTATGTCACATGTTGGATATGTCCCAGTCGAGTGAGTATACACCTCATTGCATTAAAATTTTATTTTTTACATCAAAAAGCAGGTAGTTAGCATTACCCATCATGGCTCTATGGCATTCCATTCCCCAGTACCGTTATATATTTCTAAGTGAAACATCTCGCATAATTCTGTTTTACGAGATACAAGCAAGAAACTTGGGCACATGAAAGTAAAGTATAGTCAACGCCAAACAAAGTGGCGTGCACGTCATCAAGGTGGGTGTGTTGAAAAATTTACATTGTTGCCAAACTTTTTGTAAAATAATAAAATTTATTATTTACATATCTAGGTTTATAAGCAATATTAACCTCAAATGAGAACAAAAATAATAGTATAATAAAATTATAGATCTGTACTTGCATAATCATTAAGTATGACAATTATTGATCAGATGATACTATGAAACTACCATATTTAATTGATAGCTTAAAGGTACTGAATAAAAATCCAAATGGGGTCCTCCAAATTTTATGCATGGTATTTATTTTACAGAATTCATACAGAAAAATGCATTCTAAAATTAGGTAAGCTACTGGTGTAAGCTTTTTCTGTACAATAAAGTTAGTCGGAGTTTCTTTCTTCAGCGCTGTCTGAATCTGAATCTTCATCACTCTCAAAGTTGATTATTAAAGGTTCGATGTCTGGTCGATCAAAAATTCGTTCTCTTTCATACCATTTAAAAATTTCTTGCTCAGTATGTCGAACACTATTTTTCCACATGTCTGGGGTAACCGTTTGTAGAGCCTCGTTCCACATATCCAAACAGTCTTTTTCACTGTTACCATCTCTACCAATATGTCTGTTATAGTAACCTTTTGCTATGCCCCAAATTAACTCAATAGGGTTAAATATACAATGGTAAGGAGGCAGACGAAGAACTTTGTGCCCATGTTGTTCCGTCAATTCATCAATCACGTATATTTTAGGTGGTTTGTTTCTAAAAAAGCAGTTATTTTAAGAATAGGAATAAACAAAAGAAATATAAACTGTCGACCAAAATATATATAATTAAGAAGCATTATGTACCGAGCAACAATACTCAATAGCTCTGTTTTAAACATTGTGTTTAAAAATGGTATGTTTTGATTTGTCAACCAGTCTTGGATATTTTTTTTTGTCCATGCATTGTTGGGCACTTTGTTCAATATCATGCTGTGATAAGGGGCGTTATCCAGTATAATCATAGATGGACTCTCCAATTTTTCTAATAACTGATGTTGAAACCATTTCAAAAAATTGTCCTGGTTCATCTCTCCATGGTAATCGCTCAATTTTGTTTTCGAAGAAAATATCGCTTCACTACCCTCAATAAACCCATTTTCATTTCCAGCATGTAATATAATGTATCTAAAATATATTAGTTTTAAATTTTATAGTGCAAATTGTGTAAAAGTACATACCTTTTACCATCTGTTTTAATAGCTTTCACGCTTTTTTGGTTTCCATTTTGCCAAGAGCGACCTATGGTCCCATTTTGAAATATCCAAGATTCATCGAGGAAGACAAACTGGTATAAGGCCTCAACCTTGGCTTGATTGTATTGCCTTAGAAATTCCACCCTTTTCAAAGCTATACTTGGTAGTTCCATGAGCCCTCGTCGCGGATTGTCCTTAAGCCACTTAAATCCAAGATCTCTAAGCAACCGCCTTAAAGACGTGGCACTACCATCAAATAATGCCCTATCTCTTAATCGAGACCATAAAGTTTGTATCGTAACTTGTTCTTCTGAAACGATGTGTAATATGACATTATAATTTAGTTAACAAATTAATGCAAATTTCTGATAAGTTATTATAATAAGATCTTACTTTTGTGATACATATTATAGATCACTTCTCGAATGGCACTTGTATCCAATGTCGATGTGTTGGTTACACGTTTAATATAACTCCGCTCTTTCTTGGGCGATTCTAAATTTGCATCACTTTTCACACCCTCGGAAATACGACTAACTGTCCTTAAACTAATTTTTAAAGCAGCAGCAACACGCTACAAAAAATGAGATAAAATTTCACTATTATTAATATACATTACATATAATTATTAGTAACCTACCTCTTGAACAGCATTTAAAGGCAACAAAGGCCCGTTGTTGTCCCTTTCTTGCTCAAAGTAGTGCATTAACGAGGCCACGAGTTCCTTACACCGACTATTTAACTGTTTGGGCATCTTTATATACCAAAATTGCCTTTATCTACTCGTAAAATGAATAATTTTGTTTTGAAACAAACAGTTGTTGATTTACAGTATGCGGGGCCAAAGGATTTATAAAGATTTGAAATGCCACAAATTGATTCAGTGTCAAAATTAATACAAATGTCAGTTCCCAGTTTAAATAAGTTTCAAGGTGACAATGTGTCAACGCTGCGAAATCGGTTTAGTGCGTTTACATGTCGATAAGTGATTGGAGCGTTTGCAAAACATTTTATTTCGCATAATGCGTCTAAATTTATCAGAAAGCAACTTATGTGATATTTTAATAACAATGTTTATATGACTATTAACCATAATAAGAGAGTAATGACCATTTTACAATTTATATATCACATTAATATGAAACTGCAATAGAGCAATTGTTTGTGATAGAAACCTAGGCATTAGGTCGGGGAATTTTTATCGTGATGACGTGCACGCCACTTTGTTTGGCGTTGACTATACTTAATAGATAAGCCAATTTATCGTTTTTGAGTGTTTGTAAAAAAAAGTGTTGAATTCAAAGGTGTACATTCTTGTAACTTCTGTGGAACCAACCAAACTTCTTGAAATATCCAGTTTAAATATATTGACTCTTTTTTCCTCTAATAACGTTCTTTACACTGGAGTTGTTTTGTCTTACAACAATATCTTGGTCGCTGGGCTCATCAGGATCGGATGTATCTTTGATCAATGCAAGTAGATATGAAAAAATACTATATATATATATATATATACAGGGTGTCCCGAAAAAAGTGTGCAATATTCTACCAGCGGTTTCTAGAGCTTAAAATAGGAAGAAAAGTTTCTATAAACATAGGCGACAAACGTCCCTTACTGTCTTTTAAAGGGGCTCCCCTGAAGATGGTTTTTCCTTAATATTTCCGAAACGTGTTGAGATAAAGACATAAAATTTTGTTTTCTAGCCTAGTTTTTTATGCTGGATTTAAAAATATTAACAATTTTAGACAGTTTTGTTTGTAAGCGTATGTAACAGGGACGGGCTCAGGTTATTTGAGCCCCAAAATTTTTGTGTGATTCTATTTTTGAAATTGAATTTTAGAATTTGAAAATTTAGGGTTTTCTACATAAAAAAGGTACTCTTATTAAATATCGATAAATTGTGCCATTTTTGAATAAAATCAAACTAAAAAATTGGTCACATGATAGGGAATGTACTACGAATTTAAATGAATTGTTGAATAATTAGCCATGCCAACGAAAAAACTAATTTAATAATTGGTAAATATTACATAAATACATATTTCTATTGCAACATAGCTAACATTTAGGCAAAAACAAAAGAAATAAATTTTTTCTACGAACGAAATTGAAATTTGTTTAAAAAAGAAGACATGCGGATATACTTAAAACTAGCTTTACAATAAGTGTTCACATAAATTCTTATTTCATTTGCAGCCTGATGGATTCTTTGAAGTAAATCTTCTTGAGCATTTACTTCAGTCGAGTAAACTAGGTCTTTTAATGACCCCCAAAAATAGAAATCCAATGGATTTAGGTCAGGAGAACGTGGCGGCCACGCTATAGGATCTCCTCGGCCTAACCACCTGTCTGGAAAATTTACATTCAACCAATTTCGAACATTGCGTCCAAAATGTGCAGGGGCGCCATCATGTTGAAAAAACATATTTGCTTGAAACTGCTGGCGCACATCCAATGGTATTATATCCATGAGCTCATTCTGAAGAAAGTTCAGATACACCTCTGAATTAAGACGATGGGAAGTACAATAGGTCCAATTACTTGATCCCCAATTACTCCTGCCCATAAGTTCAATGAAAATTATGTTGGAAATTTGTACGGCGAACAACTTTTGGATTTTCATCTGACCAGTGATCCATGTTATGGAAATTAAAAGCACCATTCCTAGTAAATATTGACTCATCCGACCATAATATTCTAGGAATAGTGTTTTCATTTGCTAATATCCACTGGCAAAACTCGATTCGTGGTAAAAAATCTGCCTCCGTTACGTGCTGCACCCGTTTAAAATGATAAGGAGGTAATCCTTGCATTCTTGTTATACTTCCTATCTAAAATTATTATTTTTAGGATAACTATCAAATAGGTATTCATAATTTTTTTACTACTGATCGAGGTATATCCATATTTTCTGAAACATTTCGTATGCTTATTTGCGGATTATTCTCAAACATATTTAAAGCAATATCCATACGGTGATTTCCCAGTGGCCTTCCTGAGCCCTGCATGCGCTGAAAACTTCCATAGTTTGACAAATTCCGGTGAATATCAGTAAACATTCGACGTCCAGGTACCATGTGATTGGGAAATCTTCTTTGATATTCTCTTACGGCTGCCAATGAACTGCCATTACAAAACACTTACACAAAATGCATGTCAGTTAGTTCTCTGTCTGTAAATCTTGGCATTTTAAATCGATTTAATAAAAATTTTGATTTCAATCTAGTAATTTTACACTGCTAACAATGTCAGCTTAACGTCAAAATAAGTCATAACAAATCAAAACAACTTTTGTTTGCAGTCATGGCGAACTATGTATAATCAACAATTCATGTAAATTCGCAGTACATTTCATATCATGTGACGAATTTTTTAGTTTGATTTTATTCAAAAATGGCACAATTTATCGATATTCAATAAGAGTACCTTTTTTATGTAGAAAACCCTAAATTTTCAAATTCTAAAATTGAATTTCAAAAATAGAATCACACAAAAGTTTTGGGGCTAAAATAACCTGAGTCCGTCCCTGTTACATACGCTTCCAAACAAAACTGTCTAAAATTGTTAATATTTTTAGATCCAGCATAAAAAACTAGGCTAGGATACCAAATTTTATGTCTTTATCTCAACACGTTTCGGAAATATTAAAGAAAAACCATCTTCAGGAGCCCCTTTAGAGGACCCTAGCGCCCTTAGGCAACGTTTGTCGACCCATGTTTATATAAACTTTTCTTCCTATTTTAAGCTCTAGAAACCGCTGGTAGAATATTGCACACTGTTTTCGGGATACCCTGTATATAAGTAATAAGATTTTTTATGTTTTAGTCCTAAGTACTGATATAACCATAGGTGTTAAAATATGTATTTCATATAGCATTTTTGCTAGATCACTGGAATTTGATTTTTGTGATTGTCATCATTTGCCACTATTTTGTCAAATAGAAATGTCGATTAGAATATTCAAAAAGACTCTTCATCAATTTTCTTGTGACATTTTAGCTCTCACATGCAACATTAACCATTAGACATTCGAGGACCCCCTGCCGAGGCCTAACAAAAAGCAAATTCACTTTTTATTCCTGTAAGGTTGGCTCCGTCAAATATGCTTTCAAGTGCCTGGATGCATGAATCCATTCTGAGGAAGATCATTCGCCTCTTTATCTTTCCAAAATAGATAAGGAATTTTGTATGCAATATCACGATGGTTTATATCTGCAAAAAAGATGCATAGATTCAAGAAAAATTAAAAATTTTACACCTTGATGTGGGCTGCAATTTTATAATGATATTTTTTAGAGTTATAGTCTAAAATTTTTGGTTAAGGTTCTCACTAATATAAAAAAATATCAGATAGGGCAGGGCAAGTTTGAATTCAATTTCAGAGCATTTCCACATTATACATACTTGTAGCCTGACACTATGTAATCCAAAGTCCAACAATTATTTGTGTACAGGCATCTCCGACATCAACAATGCAGTTGCACTTGGGATACAATGTTTCTTATCCAACATCTCATAAAGTTTGTGAGAACGAACCACATTTGAAAAAAATGCTATAAGTATATAAATATGCAATGATTAATTTTGTAACTTACCATTCCTTCATCAAGGAACAGCTTGGTTGTAAGCTGTTAGGCTTTTACTTATAAATACACATTCATTTGCATTGTTCATTTTAGATCATTATATGGGACTTGAAGATACCACAGCTTGACGAATTTGTTCAATGTAGGGAGTTATTATTGACTCGGCATTATTTGTAATTTAAATTAAAATTTCTTAAACGTCAAAAAAAGAAACATAATCTAACATCACAATTGACTTGTGATTGACAGCAGACTAGAAAGTACTGAAGATGACATGCGATTAAGAAAATCAAGGATGCCATAATTGTAGGACGCCTTTATGGCCTCCTTGATTGTCATACTCCTTTCTCTCCTTCAAAAATTTCTAGAATGCACCTGTTCTGTGTCAGCGTCAGCGCTCTTCTATTGTGAAGATAAGTTTTCTTTTTAAATTATAGGAAATTTCAGGCTGATAAAAAATGATATAACTCAAAAGCATGCACAATTTGATGCAAATAGATATTTGTGACATAACCTAAAAATAGGGCGCTGACACGGAAAGGTAGAAAACTATGGCAATCAAGCAGGCTATAAAGGCGTCCTACAATTGTAGGAACGACTGATGATACGGGCCATAGACTTTTTTATATTCTATTTGTTTTCCTTTCAGAACTACTGAGAAGGACGATCTCCCTTGCGACCTGTGCCAGCAGCTGGTACACCACCTGAAGGACCTTCTGATCGCCAACACTACAGAAGACGAATTCAAGAAGGTACTGATGGGTCTTTGCAATCAAACCGGGGACTTCAAACAGGAATGCACCAGTCTGGTGGACCAGTACTACTACCAACTCTACAAATACCTGTGCGAGACCTTGGACGGAGCTACGGTATGCAAAGCTATAGGCATATGCCCATCACCACAGCAGGAAGTAAGTTATTGTTTTGAGGAATAAAGATATCGAACACTACGCATAGTGTATGGTTATTGTAGTAGTAGAAGTACGTGTGTGAGGAAGTAAGTTGATGGGTGTGTAGATTTTTTCACTGTTTCGAGGTATGCGAAATAAGTAAACAGAACGACTATAATGGTCGAAGTTCAATTTTCTTAATACCCGTTTCGTGCAAGATTGTCTTCAAAAATGACAAAAAGAAACAGCTGTGTTGTATGCATCAGATCAAGATTTTTGTGAACCAAACACCATTTACTTCGTAACTGATTTATTTCTCTCCTTTCTAGTCAAGGTCGACCAACTGGTCGACAAAACACATACAAACATAAATACCAGTTCATTCTAAAACTCTACAGTTTCCTTTGAAAATTTTGACTTGATCTTGAAAGTCAAGGTCACTTTAGGATAATCCACACAACCCTTGCAACTGTGCGGTCAAACAATTTTGCTAAAGCAAATTGTTTTTGATGTCTTGATTTGACCTTAAAGGCAATAGTCATAGTCGCGGCCAGGGCGATGATCAGACGTAAAATATGCTCCTCTTTTAAACTCGGATGTGAAAAAGGGAGGGTTCCATTTGTAAATACTCACTAAACCTTGAAATGGCCTGAACGTCGTAGTCAAGGCCATCAGCTTGCTCGTCGAAGCTCTATAATATTTGTTTGAAACTTGTTGTTCGGACGGATGAAAGCATCTTGTTTAGTTTGTTTTTCTAGAATGCGCAATTTTTGGGAATATTTAGGTGGGGAGATTAAAATAGAAGATAAAAAAATGTATAATCAGATTACACGATCATGACAGGTGAGTTGTTATACTGACATGCATAGTTATGAAATGTTCTTACCGTATGGAGCAAATTTTCGAGGCGATGTAACATAATTGAAAAAAAAACAAATGTCTAGACTCAATGGCAGATTGTGTGTGTATGTGTGAGGGAGATGGATACATAAAAGTGATTCTTTACTGTGATCCAACAAAAAATCGGTAAAATAAGCTTGTATATTATTAGCAAGCTAGCAACACAGCAGTAGGAAAAATGAAAATCATTAGGAGTTATATTATGCATGGATTATCCAAATCAAGTACTACAAAAACCCCAAATCACTATGAAGCTGTTGATGTTAATGACATTCTTGTTGTTCAAATCTTACGAACAACGCATGCAGCCCATACACTAGCGTTTTTCCTGCTATTCAACCATTATATTCTTTCTTCTCTCGAACTTAGTAATCCCTTCAGTCTTTTCCTCAGTAATATTTTACGGTTAGTGGGAAAATTTGTCACTCGAAAAGTTTGTGCAAGTTGAGTTGACAAAGACAGAGATTCCCATTCATTCCTCTCGTGACGCAAGAACGAGTTTTGGTGTCAGGGAGCAATGGCATGATTGATTACAGGGAATAATGTTCGTGTATGGGCTTCAAGCATTGTTCATATGATTTGCGCAGTAAAGTGTATTCGATGTTTTAAATCTCAATATAGGTAAATAAAACACTAATCTCACTGTATTTATTAAAATGAACCTTAACAATACTTGAAATACAAATATTCCTAAATAATGCACTATTCTCGGATGTATAAAAATCCTACCTATTTCTTTAAGACAATGTGAAACGATTTCACGTGAAAATCAGAGTAGCGAATACTGTCTTTGCTTTAAACTTTAGATGGTAGTTGTACATTCACCTTCTCACAACAGTTTAAAAGAACTCACTGAATAGATTGAAGGTAAACACTTACAGTTATACGCATTTTTTCAATATCTTATCTGTATTATGAATATAAGTGTCACTGATAACTCTTACGTTGTTAGATAAATAGCCTATCAAAGTAACTTTAATGATGAAATTGCCTAGATTCATACAAGCTATCAAAGCAATTGTAAAAATTTTTAAAAAAATGCTTTACAGTCAGACCTTACATTTCTATACTGAAGGTACCACGTTTTTAATATCCTGTATTTTATTTTTTATGAATCTAAAAAAAGAATGCTTAGCCACTCCAGAGAAGTAAAGGGTGATCCATCTGTTGGTTAATTTTTGAACTAGGGCTTATCTCACGGTTGGCAACACTTGCATAAGTTCTCTTTTGACAGGAATATGGATCGATATACGCTTGAACAGCGTTGGGAAGCGCTCAAAATTGGACGCTTGGACGAGGACCCCCATTTTTACTGAAAAATATTTTTTCCGGATGAGGCCCATTTTCATCTGGTGGCTACCTCAATAAGCAAAATTGCCATATTTGGTGCTCAGACTAGCCAATTGAAATTACGTTGAAGCCAATGCATCCGCAACACGTGACGGTTTAATGTGGTTTGTGCCCTTTTTTCACTATATCTTTCCGGAAAGGGATAAAAAGACTTGGCTGGCGTGTGGTTCCAGCAATATGGCGAGACCTGCGACACAAGCCGCAAAACAATCGCTCTTCAAGAACAGTTCGAAAATCGCGTAATTAGCCGTTTTGGTGACTTGGCCACCGCGAAGCTGCGATTTAACTCCGTTGGATTATTTTCTGTGGAGAAGCGTAAAAGATAAATGCTATGCGGAGGCCCCAGCGATGATTGAGCTCTTGAAGACCAACATTCATGCAGCTGTTGGTGAAGTAATGCCGCAGACTTTTGGAGTATGTACTGAAAAATCATTAAGGATAGTATTCTCAAATAAAGAAACCCGTTTGGAAAACCACTCTGCGTTTTCATTTTATCCATCGATTAAAAAATTAACCAACAGGTGGATCACCCTTTAGTAGTGTGATACTTAGAATAATCGTTCTTAATAGAGATATCGGTCGCTCTTCCAATGTTCGCTTATTTAAAAATATGAATCATAGTGCGAAATGTATACTTGAATTTCTGTTACTGAAACTGAAGGAAAAGGTTTTGGAGGAAAAATTGGAAATGTGCTTTTGTTTCAGGATGATTTCTTCGCGCCATTGCTACCACCATCAACTGCCGAAATTGCTGAAAACTTGAAGAAAGATCCTGAAATGGCTCGCGCTCCTATCCAGACTGATGCATCTTCAGTACGAGTATTACCATTTGAGACAGAACAAGACGTCATTCCTGAGCAACAGATACCCATTGAAGCTATGGTACCTCCACATATGCAGGTATTGATATTAGCTAAATTTATAATCCAAAATACATGTCAGTAGTTACCATAACACTACACATTTCTGCATATGAGTTAGCTTATATATTTATTTGCAGGTGCTTTACAACAGAGAAGTATGCGAATTCTGCCAATACTTCTTGCACTACCTGCAAATTGCGATCACTGAACCCAAAACAGAGGTAAGGTAACGTGATATACATGTACACTTCACCTTCAATTGGTTATTTCTTTTCCAGGAGAAGATCAAATCAGTGTTAGAGAAGGCGTGCAGTAAACTACCATCTGTAGTCAATGAAACCTGTGTCAACTTCATCGACGATTACGAACCAGCTCTTGTAGCAATATTGGCACAGGATATCGATCCATCTCAAGTATGTCCAATGATCAGAGCGTGCCCATCAAAGTCAGCTGACGTAGAAATTTTCATGGAGGCTGAAGGAGACTCCAAATGCCCATTGTGTCTGTTTGCTGTGACCAAACTGGAGAGTATGGTGAAGGATCAAAAGACGAAGGTATTTCTTAATGATGTGCTAATACTTCAGGGTATAGAAATTTCAGTTCCCCTTCAAAATTGAATCCACATTGATAATTTTTACTTCCCATGTTTACTGGCGACGAAGTATTGTAATCGCGAAAAATTTCTAAAATATGTTTTTTAGATGGTATGTGACATCACGAAAAATCATGTCACTCATTTCCGCCAGTCTTTCTGTCTGTAGTGCCCCATCTATAATTGGAAAAGTAACGGTTTGGTTTTGATTTTTTCACACAAAGTTACTACTATGCCAAGGACCAGTGGCGGCAGAGAAAAAGGCCATAAACGAAAAAAATAAAACTGCTCAAACTTCGTTCTTTGACATTTCAGAGTGTCCTGATCATTTTTTAACAAATTTTTAGGGGTTAAAAAATTGGTTTCCTTTTTTATATTTTAAAATGTTCACACGCACCCAACCTCGGGAGTATATGCGTCACTTCCTTTGGCCTGTACGAGCGTGATACTGTTGGTAAGAGCTCTGGCCTTTCTGCGACGTTGCCAAATGGACTACCGGTAGAACAGAGAAAAAAATGTCTGTGAACCAATTGTATGAGCCTGTTTGACTGACATGATCCATCTAATTTCTCTGTTGTTTCTCAGATGCAAGACTTTTTATGATGTGACTCAAATAAATTTGTTGGTTTATATTTCCATATCCTTAGGACAACATTGAAAGAGCTCTCGACAAAGTCTGCGACCATCTGCCTAGCAACATGGGCGAAGAATGCAAAGATTTCGTGAATACGTACTCCAGCGAATTGATTGAAATGCTGATCGCTGACTTGAAACCTGAGGAGGTGTGCGTCTACTTGAAACTCTGTCAAGACGGAACTCCAGCACCTAAACTTCCGCCTTACGTTTTCAGACATACTGTCGGCGATATTGGTAAGCAAGAAAAAGACGGAGAAATGTTACGATAGCTTTATACTTAACCTACAGTGGCCTGCTGGTTTTCTGGGTTGACCACCAATTAATAGTCTATTTCACCGACTACTTAAAAATATAGACCTTTCTATTTACCTTCGGATTTTTGCAGACATTTCAGAAACTTGCCATGTTGCAAGTCCCTCAGTGGAGACTAGTAAAGTCTCTTAACATTCTTCCTATGAATAATTAGTATTCAGTACCTTTTATTAATTTTGCAATAGGCAAAGTTATTCGTATGTACTTAGAAATATATCTTCCATAACGTGATGAGACAAACTATTAGGTTATTTTTAGCAAACAGCGTAAACGCTTCATTCATCATTCAAATGTGTCATTGTGGGTTTTTGTGTTGACCGGAGCAACCTTTCATTCGAATTTTCTTTATTTTTACTCGCAGTGATTTTTTACACCTTTGTAAATTTAATAATGGTTAGTCGCTATATATCTGAAATTATAGCCCACAATGCAGGAGAACATGTTTCATTTGACGACAATTTTGGATTCACTGGCACTAATTCAGTGTATCTACAATATAAAATAATTGTTTTTGTGTTTGTATCATTTTTGATACGAATGTTTCAGAAACTAACGTCATCCCAGACAACACAATAAATGGCCAGTACATCGCCTCCAGGAGAGAAGATATTATCGAGGACAGTCCCCAATGCGTTCTTTGTGAATTCGTCATGAAGGAGATTGAAGATCAACTAAAGAATAAGAATAATGATGTAAGTGACTTAAAACTCAAACCTCCGTGATAGTGACATATGTGTGGGTTTAGTATTGATTAACATATTCTGCCTGAAGATACATAAATTAATTCTATATTCGCGCCAAATAACATATAGCTACAGCGCCATCTGAGAGACACTGCCCTTATCAAAATAGACTTCTTGTTGTGTTTCTATGTTATTGGTTATCTGAAGGTGAATAGTCTGTCCAAGTTTAGGGTCATATACAGTACCAAGGTCATGTTAGCGCGTATCTTCTTTGTTAGGTAATGCAAAATTCTTTCAGTTCCGTTGGTAATATATCTTAACCAAACGCTAATTTTCCACAATTCTCAATGAAATACAATATTTTTTATAGCGTAAAATTGAAGATATCGTCAGAGACATTTGCAGCGTGATGCCACATTCCGTGAAGAAGCAGTGTAATGACTTTATCGACAAATACGCAGACACTGTCATCCAACTACTGATCCAAGCCTTGGAACCCAGCGAGATCTGCACTATGATGAAAATGTGCAGTGACAAATTAATCAACATGAAAGGTAAATGTAAGATGTTGATTTATAATTCATGTTTTCAGAACTTTGAATCAATAAGTTATAATACATTTCCTTTCAGTTGAAATTTTGGACTGCCCCATTTGCGAAATGACAGTGGCAGCAATGGAAAAGATTTTGGGAAATCCCAGAGTCGAACATGAAATCGAACACGTTTTGGAGAAGACCTGCAGAGGATTGCCTGAAAAGTACAGACATAAGGTAACCACTTGTTGAGTATTTGTGTAAATACTTTGATGTAGCGGTTGTATTTTTGTGTGGGCATTTTATTTATTGAGTAACTAGATGTTTTAAGTGTATATACAGTTGTTTTTTAAGCAAAGTAGTAATATTTTGGTTTGCCTTTTTATTTTGCGATGGTAAGTAAAAAATCTAATAAGCTTGTACTAATTACTCATTTCATTTCCCCATAACAATAATATTCACTAAAAAGTTAGATTTTCATTCGTTTTTGAGGCCTAGATTTCTATTTGTTATGTGCATTATAAATAGTTTATACTTTCGTCGAATTTCGGTACGGAAACAGTAGTAAATATTTCAATCATCAGATATTTTCAAAAAAATGGTTTTAATTGAAGTATGAAAAAAATCGCATTTCCTCATTTCATTTGTGTTGTTTTGGTTATGGGTCATTGATGAAAGCACTAACAGTATATTTTTACTAACATCTGTATGTATAATGTCATTAAAAATGTTGGCATTCACGAATGAATATTTCAAGATAAAAACAATGTTTTTGCGATCTGACAGGCATATAATTTAGGCCACGAGGTCAACATTTATGATAACATTTATAAGTGGAAAATGTACAATCCACACAGCTGAGTATAATCGCTAAGCGTGCGTTCTATTATTTTCAGCATTTGACAAAACGCAGTCCTCTAAATTGCCAGTTCTTGAACTGAGTAGTTTTACAGAGTATACCACAGTGCACCTTTTGTGTAATTCCAAAAGCCTGACAAAGAATCCAGAAGCAAAGTGTAACAAGCAAAGTCTTGTATCAAGACTAAATTATATTGTGTATTAAGGGTTCCAATGGCCTCGGTCTTGCATGGGATCTTTGCCCTTGACCTGAATTGACATGCATTTTTCCGATGCTGATCGCTTTTTATTTGACGCTGACATGGCATACACAAACATGTCGAAAAGTGTCACTTCCAAACTTGAGATGCTGGAATTTTTGCCTTTTGCAAGTAGCAATGCTAGTGGCCTGAAGCTGCTTCAAATGGTATCTAATGCTCTTTTGGGTATGAAGCTTTGTATATAATGCATAATTGGGATCTCCGAAGGTTGTTAATGAAATGGATGCAATTTGGGCAAAATGTTTATTGTATGTAATTGAAAAACTGTTTTCTTTTTTGTAGAATAGTCAATAGTAAGTCTGGTAGGAGTAAGGACAGTGTTTCTTACATTGACAACTGCCACTAAAGTGTGTGTGTCTTTTCTACAATCCTGATCATTAAATTTTGCTCAAAAAAGCAATTTTTCCCTTTTCATGTAATCATTAAGTGCAGTGTCATTCCAATATTCTTACGCACATGGCATAAGTTTTGTCATATAACAGTTGAATACAAATACTATTAATTGACAGAAGTCAAAAAAGCAAAATTGGATCAACATTATAAAGCTCAAAAAATATTTCTGTTGGTATATCACAGGGTAGTAAACTAGGTCCACTACTATTTATTTTATACATTAATGGCCTTTGTAACATTTTAGATTATTGTAAAATTCAGATATTTGCAGATGATACATTAATATACAAATCAGATGAAAATATATACATTGCTTTAAAAATGTTAAATTATGACTTGGCAATAATCATAAATTAGTTAAATGTAGATAAACTAAAATTGAATACTTCTAAAACAAAATATATGCTAATAGGGAAATACCTAAATGAAAATACTATCTCAGTTAGGATAAATGGTGAAATAATTGAAAATGTTGATTCAATTAAATATTTAGGTATATTATATTGATAGTAAACTAAAGTTTGATGATCACTCTGAATACATTATTTCAAAAATTGCCAATAAACAAATCACTTTCATATGGCTTCTAATAGTCTTGCTACATATTCCAAGAAAATAGTTTATAATACAATTATTCTACCGCATTTACTATATTGTTCAACTGTCTTGTTCACTGCCAATGAAGTTTTATTCTCAAAATTACAAGTACTGAAAAATATAGCTATGAGAATAATAGTGAATAAAAATAAGTACACCAAAATAAAATCTATGTTACAAGAATTGCAGTGGTTGAATATAAAAAATTTAATATCACTACATAGAATTGAGTAATCATTACCACAATTATTATACAAGAGGAAATATAGATTTTCATTTACAAAATTGCAATAGTAATATAACTAGTTACTTGAATTTAATAAACAAAATAATGATATAAAATCTACTTGTAATTTAAAGATGTTTAAAAGAAAATTAAAGAAATATTTCATTGGCAGTGAAAATTCTTAGAGATGCAAATTTTGTTTTTATCTAAATATCTGTTTTGTAATAGTTTAGTTTTCTAGAAAAATGTAATTGTAGCATTTGCTAAATAAATCGTAAACAAACAATACAGACTATTTGCAACTTGGGAATCGTTGTGCGATTCTGTTGAGAAGGATAACTGGGAACGCTGGTTTAACGCTTTGTTCTGGCGTATGGTTAAATGCATTCGATGTGATGGAAACTATTTTAGACATCAATAAAACACTTTTTCATACGACAAAACTTATGCCATAGCTACATATATTCAAATGGGTTTTGTCATGGTGTGGTCCAACTATTCACACTTTTTCATAATATGTTCTATACTTTTTATCAAGCAAATTTTTTTTCCAGTGTGGCGATGTTATTGACGAATATGGAGATGTAATGTTCGAGATGCTTATACATCACACGAACAAAAAATCTGTCTGCCGCGACCTGGGATACTGCAAAACTACCCAACTTGATATGTTAGTCATAGATTAGATATTCGTGATATAGAATACTCTCTATTAGGTAAGTTTAGTCTAAGCATAGGCTAGACAAACTGCTAATCTCATTATGTTTTGCAGATGTTGTATACTTATAAAATATATGGTTTTGTCATATGGTGAACCAAAGTTTGAACAAACATCTACAATATAGTTTAGATTATGTACTTTTAGTTTAGTGTTCAGTTGCAAATACTTAAGGGTCAAAATAACTTACTTTTGCGCCGAAATTTTTGATTGGCAACTGTGATAAAAATCTTTGTGAATTTTTAAATGTGTCCATTTAGTTATGTGGCAAATAAAATGTTTAGTTAAAAAAATTGTTTCATTTTCTCCATCCAATTTTAGCATACGCAGTACCTATGGTTATCAGGAACTTATCATGCAAACTTCGTGCTATTACGTGGCCTGAGATAGCGGTAACTTACGAAATTTGGTGGTTTGATATGTTTAGTACTCTGCTCCTCGCCGGTCATGTCCAATTTTTATATTTGTCAATGGTTGTGTTTTTTCTAGCAGTGCAATTTTTATAGTCGATCATAAGCATGAGGAAAAGCCCTTCTTTCCTAAATCAGGAAAGGGTAAGTGTGGATGTTACGCAGTCGCGCCAAAAAGGCTGAATAGTAAGGTTATTACGTAAAAATCTATACGAGGGATGTCTTGTAAGTTTTGCATATGGAAATAAAACAACACAGTAGGTACTTTTAAATGACTATTGTTTTTCGAAGTACATATTCTTTTCGTAGCACTTATTCCACTCGTAAGCTGGCAGATACAAAACGGCATTTTTGAATGCGTCAACTGCTTCTTCTGGTGACTGGAACCTTTGACCATGCAGTTTGTTTTTAATTTTCGGGAAAGTAAAGAAATCGGGACCTTAGAGTATGGTCCAATAATTCCACATTTTCTTCCGTTAAATACTGCCTTGTTTTTTGTGCTGTGTGCGAGCTTGCATTGTCTTGGTGGAGGATGATTCTTCTTTCGGGGTTGATTTTTCGAAGCTCGGTGATGACATTTTGCAAACAAATGGTGGTATACTAATCCGCAGTAACAGTTCTTTGCTCATTAAAAGGAATTGTTGCAATGTGATCTGCTTTTGACACAAATGTCGCGACCATCTTTTTCGAAACACTTCGAGAACGGATGACTTTTGTTGGCTTTTCTTCACTTTGGAACACCCAAACAGCCGACTGTCGTTTATTTTCTGGTTCATAACAGTAAATCCACGATTCATCACCAATAACAATGCTGTACACATTTTTTGAGTTTCCGGAATTGAAACGGTCAAGCGTTTTTTGATACCAATTAACCCTGGCTGCTTTCTGCTCTTCAGTCAACAGGTGGGGTATCCAACGAGAAACTAATTTACTTACTCCTAATTCTTCATGTAAAACTATTTGAATTGAGGTCTTTGAGCTCTTCAAAGACGCCGCAATCTCGCGATATGTCACATGTGATGAGTTTGCGCACAGCATCGACGTTTTCCTGGGTGACTGCTGTTTTTGGTGCACCCACCCTGGTATCGTCGCTGAGACTCACCCGTCCACGTTTGAATTCTCCATACCAACGGGAAATTGTCGACAGATGTGGCGCTTCGTTGCCGAAAACAGACAGGAACTCAGCAAGGCGTTCTTGTTGCGATAATTGTCTCTGAAAGTTGTAATAAATTATGGTGCGAAAATGTTCTCGGTTGAGTTCCATTTTTCTAATGACTTGGTGACACTTAAAAATTCACTGTAGTGAAAACACTGCACGTATTGTTGTGAAACTTTGAATTTAAGTTTACTCAAGAGTTAGGTTATGTTTTAGTATTGACGTTCGATCCGCGCGGCCTACTGTTTCTATATGCAAAACTTAAAAGACATCTCTCGTATAATGTCAAAAAAAATTATGTCACTGTTCAAGTTACTTAATACCCCCTGCGAATCTGGATGAAATTTGGTACAGAGATAAATTATACTTGTAGGATACTTTTACTTTTTATCTTGGGAAATAACTTTGAAGTATGCATTTCATAGACTACAGCCCAAACCTATTAATGGTATTTGACACGAGATGTCTGATGTCTGAAGAAATAACTAACTAATAACACGCTTATAGGTTTAAGTTCAGTAGTATTTGAGATTTTAGGTACAGGTATAATTATGGTCAGCTTCAAGACCACCAACCAGCAATTTGAAATAAAATTTCAGCACTAATTTCTGTCTGTATTATTGTTTGTTTTAATATTAAAGCTTACTAAACTTGATATCACCTGATAACTATAAGTACTTGAGAACGAAATATTAAAAAACGCTCCACTAATTCATGTCGAATATTTTTAAAACAAGGAATCTTGCAATCCTCTCGAATCTTTCGTTATAAGCGCCATCTCTCATCTATTGCTTGAAATAGTCGAGCGTGCCGATAAATCCGAACGCGTTAATAAAAAGAAAACTAATTGCTTTTATGTATCACAACCCATTAGTAACCATACCTTCCGGTAGAGAGCAGGCAACCTTCTTAAAATACATTTTGCAATTTTCGATGTATCAAGAATTACCAATACATTTTATTGATAATTTCCTGATAATATGCATTAATAGCCAACAATATAACTTTGTATCAATGCACCAGCAATTATTTTCGAATCGCAATCTAATAGCAGTGCCGTGCGTACCGAGTTTTTCGAAGGTTGTGTTAGTGGTGTTCTTCAAAACTATAACTGAGATGTCTAGACAATTTTCTAATTTTGCACCTAGGACAGGGATCACAAGTGAAAACTCGATAAATTCAATATTCGCCGAATTTTTAAAATAGAGAAAATCTGCTTTTAAACTCTATTTTCGTTTATTTTTCGTTTTAGTGTTACGATGTCCTTCTTTTGCACGGATTTGAAATCGCCAGCAACCTTCACAGCTCTAGAGCCTCCATATGCAAAGAAATCGGTTACTGCCGTTTGGACGTGGATCCTTGCTTGTATGGGCCAAATTATTGGTGTATAAGCGAGAAACATGCAGACTATTGTGGTGTAAGTACCTTACTTCTTTCTTTTTTAGGTTTTTTCTCTTTTTTCGCTCTTTCTCCGCTATCTGAGCATGGGCGCTAGCAGGAATCATTCTCAGAGGGGACAAGAGCCAAACCTTTATGAAAGTGAACTTGCTGCTAAAAGTTTTTGAAGAGCGGTGAATAGCAAATTTTCTGAGGAAGGGGGAGGCGAAAATTGTACACAAAATCATACTTATTGTGCATATTTTTCAACTTGATTTTGGGGGGGGATCGACTCTCGGGAAGTTGATATCAGTTGACATAAT